GGTGAAAGACAAAATAAGCTAGCATTTACACCAGTGGGGCTTGACTAGTATTGGCTTAAACATGATGTTAAGGGAAGAAGCCTAACAGAGAAGTGTTGGTGACTCTTAGAAACTCACTCCACCCCATCCCAGAAAAAGAAGTGTCCTACATGAAAAGGGAGGCAGTTCTATTGAAGTGAAACAATGTGCCTGAAACATCATACATGAGTTTCAAGACTGACCCTGGGTGGGATTACCTGCAGGGAATTAAGACCAACAAATGAGAGACATTCCATTGTTTCAGATAGCATATCAAAATAATCATAGTTGATTCTATTCAGTACTTGATTATCCTTCTTATGATTTTATGTTCATTTAGCAATCTAATTTATAGCGATGGCTTATATTTATTAAGTGCTTCCAAGTTACCAGACAATGCAAACCAATAAACATTACATACGTTACCTTACTTGATCCCTATAAGAACTCTGTAAGGTAAGTATCTTCGTTACCTGCATTGTACAGAGAGGCACAAAATAAGTAATTTACCTAATGGCAGACCTGGGGTACAGAACAAGGCAGTATGCCTCAGGGTTCTTTGGAACAACCATGCTATACTATCTTAGCTTCTCACATAGATCTTCATTGTAGGTACATTAGTCACATATTCTTTTGATTGTATATTGTCCTGTGACTGTGATTTCCTAATGATGATAATAAAATGACTTCTGACTGTGGTTTAGTAGAGAGCCAGGTCCTGGAATGGAACCTAACAAAGAAAGGTACTAGCCAGGAAAGCTGGTTTTATTGTTGTTGTTGTTTTTCTTTCTGTGACCATCTCCTGGTCTCACTGGCCAGTGTTTCCCAGTTATATCTGACTATATCAGTGAGAAGTCTTTGCAGAGTAGAGTCCTGGTGCYAATATCTCAGATATTCTGATTTAATTGGTCTATGGTGGAGACTGCAAATGTATTCTTTAAAAAATCTCACTGGTGGTTGTGATGCCCATATAAATCTGAGAAAAACTGCTTTAGAAGGCACGGTGGAAATTTCTCTGTTAATTTGTAAACAACTTGTTCAAATCTAAGAAATGGTAAAAGAAAGAAATTCATGAGGTAGTTTTAAGCAGAAGTTAAATGATATCTGTGATGAGCTAAAAATAAAGATCAATTGAAGATATAAAACCTTGATGCCAGGAACCAAATGTTATTTATTCTAAGATACAAATCACATAGTGGTTTGGATTTTAAGTCTGGAGCTGCACCATTTGGGAATGGATGCCATCTCTGCTACATGGTGGACAGCTGTGGGCAGCCTGCTCAGACTGTCCAGTCTGAGTTTTGTGTTACTCATTTGCCAAAGGGGGATGGTCGCAGTCCATCCTATAATCCATACAAAGCTCTGATCCCTGAGCCTGATATTTAGTTAGTGCTCAGTAAATGTCAGCACTTGTTATTTAAGTGTTTTTCCAACTGGGGATGTTCTTTGGTGAAACTAACTCCATTTCTGACCCTTGTGTTTCATGTGACTATAGCATCTGTCTTTAGTCTGGTTGGTGAGAATGGAGACTGTAGTTGGTTTTGATTCTTAGACTCAACTATAGACTAGAACCTTTTCAAAATAATTCTGGGACCAGCTTGAGTTAACCAGTACAGCRTTTAGAGAGCTTGGATTAAATCTTTATGATGTTTCTTAAATGTGCTCTACTGCTAGTATAGATTTCAAATTATTAACTAAGACTCTCAGGTCAGTTTTCTGGTCATTAGAAGTTTTTCAAGCATCTAAAGGAAACCAGTTTCTCATTTTACTTTTCAGTTTATTTGAACTGTGTCCTGGATTTCCTCAGGTTTTAATTTATACAAGTTTATACTTTAATAGCTTTTAAAGCTGTATGGAAGATGTATTTTCTAGATTTTTTTAAAAAAAGAACAAATAAGCTACTTAAAGGGGATGTTTTATGCAAAATATACTAAAAAGAGAGCTAAGTCTATAAGTTGACATATGTAAGGCTTCCTAAGGCATTCTTATTCTATATATTGTAGATCTATAGAAATAAAATGAAAWGCAAATGTGTCCTATACACATAACATTGGTTAAAATAAAATGGACTCTAGATTCAAATTCTGCTTTCACTACTTTCTGGCTTCATGACTTTAAATAACTTGCTGTAGTTCCCTGATTATTTTCTTCATGTAACTAATAGGGTTGTAGTAAGGATCAAATTATTAAATTGTGTGGAATTCTGAAAAAGAAATTTTAATGAAAACAAATTTTTTACCTAAGCCTTGGAAAAAAACTTTTAAAAAATTTATATCAGAAAACAAGTTGAAAGCTGACATCTCCTACAGAAACCTCTCCCTTTTCATCTGCAAAAGTGGAACAATATACTTTACCTCAAATGTTGGTATGAAAGGTAAACTCACTTCTTGATGGGAGTTTCTGTTTCCATCTAGAATAGCACTCTTTCAGTAGAAATAAATTTATTTCTCTTTCAGTAAAAATAAATTTTGAGCCACAAGTGTAATTAAAATTTTTCTAATAGCCACATTTTTTAAAAAGAAACAAATGAAGTTTATTGTAACAATGTATCTAACCCAATATCTAAAATATTGTCATTTCAACCTGTAATTAACAAAAACTGAGATTTTTTTCACATTTAATATTATAGATATAGTATGTGTTCTACAATTACAGCATGTCTCAACTTGAACTAACCACATTTCAATTGCTCAGTAGCCACTTATGGCTGATGATTACCATATTGAACTGTCCAGATCTAGAATATAGATTAGTATTCCCTATCCTTGGTTACTGGTGCTTGTTTTGCCCGCAAGCAATTAGCATAGCCTATTCTTAAAACCTATTCTTTAGATGCTTGAGCCTTATATCTTCATCAGGCAACTTAGATTAGTATCTTTGTCCCTAGTAGGATTGGGTCCTATCCTTAGCCTTTTGGCTGACCTACATGAGGATTTGCTCTGGGCATTATGTGTACCTCTCTGTTTGATCAAGGCTGGTACACTACCAGGGATTGCTAAATCCATTGAGTGTGATAAACATTTGAACCACAAGGATTAGAGCTTCAGGTTAGGCTTTGTAAAACCCCTTCACTCTTGTTTCTTCTCTGTCCTTTTTTCCCCCACCTCTTTTCCAAAGTTCAAAGACTAATGTAGTGTTTCTGGGAAAGAGCAAATACTAGTAATCTTTTAAAGGAATTCAGCTTCTCTCTCCTCCACTTCAATTTGGTATAACAAGGCAGCACTCTCTTCTTAGAAATTATTTTTGACTTTTTAAAAGATATTTAGAAAGCTTTTTGGGGTCAAGAGATGTGGGCAGCAGTGAAGGTATTCAATTGTACATGTTTACACCAAGTTAATTTTTTGTATCTAAACTTTAAAAAATATTATTTCTGATACTTTCACCCATATTTTGGGAGAATTATAATGAAGGGGGTGTTATCCTAAATAGTGATATGAAGTGCAGAAAGGTAGGGAGTATGGGATTCAAGTGTACTCATTCCACAAAAATATCTGCTCAGCTGTCACCTTCTTAGGGAAGCCTACCTCATCATTCTATATAAATAGCTTCCAACCCCCTGTACCCTATCTCTACCTTTTGGGGAAGAAGAAGGTGATAAAAATATTACTTATCACTGACTTAAATTATTTGCTTGTTTTTCTGAATAGACTATAAGYTCCATAAGGATAGGACTTTGTTTTGTTTACTTCTTCATCCCCAACTCCTAGTATAATGCCTAGCATTCAATTAATTCCTATGGAACCAGTGAATAAATACGTGAAAATGCTGTTTTCTATATATATTAAATGATTTTAAAATTAGAAATACCTAGTAAAGTTCTTGTCTGACTATTATTAGTTTGGCCAGTATACATGATATGTTTGAATTTTCAGACCTAATTTCCATGGTAGAATCCTACTGTTTGCTCTTGACCAGTCATTTAGGTAAAGTTTTCTTTCTTTTAGAGTGTAGGGCATGAGGAGGGGGAAAGGAGTAGCTTGGAATGCAATTGTAAAAAGAGGGTGGAGTAGCCAATCTATACCTGATGAGAATTTCAGATTACGCAGGGTAATAACATAGAGGAAGGGTATTAGGATAGAGAATTGGATTATATAGTGCAGGTACTACAAATGTATCCAAAGTTTGAGGCAAGACTGATGGCATAATAGATAAAAGGTGAAAGAGTCATAACCATAGAAATTAGTATTACTCAAAAGAAATGTGGGGTTATATAGGGTTATGGCCCCAAATCCACGAATCATGTTTCCATTGTCTTGTTTAGAATCTGTGTTTAAAATTTTAATTATCCCTTTCAGTTGTTCTTCCTGTTTTACTCTYATGCCTTTCTACCAATATGATACCATTACTGTACTTGGTGCTCCGCAGAACTATGGTACTTTGAATACAGACTCTTCACATTCTGCAAGGACCAGAAATTTCACTATAACTCCCTGCCATTAAAACTAACCCAACAAGTTGAGAACTCTCAAATTCTATTAAGTTGTATTAAGAACTATTTATGTTTCATCCAGACAAACTGTTAGCAAAAGTAGTAAAAGCAAATTTAACAATTTTTACTTTTCTCTTTCTTAATTCTTTAAATGAGAAAAATCTCTTTTGTGTACATGCACCAGTTTTTTAAAGGAATATGAATAGAGTAGTGTTTAATAAAAACAATAAGCAAAGATGTCATTTTCTATATATATTTAATGATTTTAAAATTAGAAATACCTAGTAAAGTTCTTATCTGACTATTATTAGTTTGGTCAGTATATGTGGTATGTTTGAATTTATCTAAATATTTTTATGTTGTGGTAATAGGCTTTCATTTCAGTTGGATTTTTTAATAATGTTATAAATTTAAGGTTTTATAAAGTTTGATTAAATAATAGTATTCCAATTGTTGTAGGTAATTTTTTTTACTATTTCTGATTACATTTAATTTAACTTTAAGTCAGTGTTCAAATGATGCATTTTTTACCTTACCTCTTCTTTCTTCTTAGTCTGTAAGACTTGTATTGTCCAGCACTTTGAAGATAGCAATGATTGTCCAAGATGTGGCAACCAAGTCCATGAGACAAATCCATTAGAAATGTTGAGGTAAGGAAATGTATTTCATAGTTCAAACTTAAATGAATTGTATAAGCTCTTAGATTTTATAGTACATCATGTTTCTTAATATCTTATGGCTTATGAATTTTATGACTTTTCTTTTAAAGAATTTTTTAAAGTATTTTATTGAGTTAAAAATTAAGACTGTATACCTTAAATATTTAGGAAATACATTTATAAAATAAAATTATAAGTTCCTTTTGGCTTCTTAGAGTGATTTTTAAGTGCAGTTATTTTCAGATAACAGATGCTATGGGTAGATATAGTGACAATAGTCTTTGTAAGTATGTTTTCCATTGCTTTATTATTTTCCATTGAGGAGAAAATATTCATTAGCCAATAGCAAGAATGATAAAAAAGGATATGGAGGGCTAAGGAGAGAAAAAAAGGAAGTTGTCCAAGAGATAAATTGACAAGGAAAGTGTAGTATGATTCCTGTTGGTTTTATTTTTCTAATTTGTTATACATGGCAGCAGAATGCATTTCAACTCATAGTACACATATAGAGCACAATTTTTCATGTCTCTGGTTGTACACAAAGTAGACACCATTCATGTCTTCATATATGTTCTTAGGGTAATGATGTCCATCTCATTCCACCGTCTTTCTTACCCCCATTTCCCCTCCTTTTTCTTCCCTCCCCTTTGCCCTATCTAAAGTTCCTCCATCCCTCTCATGTCCCCCCACATCCCAATTATGGATCAGCATCAACATTTCAGAGAAAATATTCAGCCTTTGGTTTTTTGGGATTGGCTAACTTCTCTTAGCATAATAATCTCCAACTCTATCCATTTACCTGCAAATGCCATGATTTTATATTCTTTTAATGCTGAGTAATATTCCATTGTATATATGTATACATACATACATACACACAATATATATGTGTGTGTGTGTGTGTGTGTGTGTGTGTGTGTCACAGTTTTTTATCCATTCATCTAGGTTGGTTCCACAATTTAGCTATTGTGAATTGTGCTGCTGTAAGCATTGATGTGGCTGTGTATTACTATGGTATGCTCTTTTTAAGTCCTTTTGGTATAAATTGAGGAGTGGCATACCTGGGTCAGATGGTGATTTCATTCCAAGTTTCCCAAGGAATCGCCATACTGTTTTCCATGTTGGTTGCACTGATTTGCARTCCCACCAGCAATGTATGAGTGTGCCTTTTTCYCCACATCCTCAAGACTTATTGTTTGTATTCTTAATAGGTGCCATTCTGACTGGCGTGAGGTAAAATCTTAGAGTAGTTTTTATTTGCATTTCTCTAATTGCTAGAGATATTGGACATTTTTTCATATGTTTGTTGAATTATTGTATATCATCTTCTGAGAAGTATCTGTTTAGGTCCTTGGCCCATTTATTGATTGGGTTATTTTTTTTGGTGTTAATATTTTTGAGTTCCTTATATATCCTAGAGATTAGTGCTCTATCTAATGTGCTGAGAATAAGCTTTTCAGTTGGAATCCATCCCATTTATCGATTCTTGATTTTATTTCTTGCGCTTTAGGAGTCTTATTAAGGAAGTTGGAACCTAATCTGACATGATGAAGATTTGAGCCTACTTTTTCTTCTGTTAGGCGCAGGGTCTCTGGTTTAATTCCTAGGTCCTTGATCCACTTTGAGTTTTGTGCATGGTGAGAGATAGGAGCTTAATTTCATTTCACTGCATATGGATTTTCAGTTTTCCCAGCACCATTTGTGGAAGAGGTTGTCTTTTCTGCAGTATGTTTTTGGCACCTTTGTCTAATATGAGATAATTGTATTTATGTGGGTTTGTCTCTGGGTCCTCTATTCTGTACCATTGGTCTACAAGTCTGTTTTCATGCTAATATTGTGGTGTTTTTGTTACTATTGCTCTGTAGTRTAGTTTAAGGTCTGGTATAGTGATGCCACCTGCTTCACYCTTTTTGCTAAGGATTGTTTTAGCTATTCTGGGTCTCTTATTTTTCCAGATGAATTTCATGACTGCTTTTTCTATTTCTGTGAGGAATGTTATTAGGATTTTGATTGGAATTGCGTTAAATCTGTATAGTGCTTTTGGTAGTATGGTTATTTTGACAATATTAATTCTGCCTACCCAAGAACAAGGGAGATCTTTCCATCTTCTTTAATTTCTTTCTTTAGAATTCTGTAGTTTTTATTGTAGAGGTCTTTCATCTCTTTCAGTGATTCCTGTTGGTTTTAAAAACACATTTAGGTTATAGTTTTGCATTTGAAGGGGGATTATTGTTTTCTTTTCCAAGCATGAGTACACATGCTTGATGGAGAGCTGAATTTAATTAGAATTGTGATTATACCAAATAATTTGGAGCAAATGAGAGAGGGACATGTAATCAAGGGTATGTGCAATGGAGTGATTTTAATGACTGCCTATGGATCACATCACTTTAAACTGTATTAAGAGAGCAGTGAGAATATCAGAATGGTGAGGAATGACCAGGCATGGTGGCATATACCTTGTAATCCCAACAGCTTAGGAGGCTGAGGCAGGAGGATCTCAAGTTCAAGCTAGCCTCAGCAACTTAGTGAGGCCTTTCCTCAAAATAAAAGATAAAAAGGGCTGAGGATGTGACTCAGTGATTAAATAACCAGGTTCAATCCCTAGTACTGGGGGCAAGGGCATATGTTGGGAGGAATGGGGATGATGGGATGATATAATAGAATTAAACTTCTGTCTTCCATAAAAGGAAGTCAGAAAAACCTAGACAGAAAAAAAATATGGCTTTTAAAAAGTAGAAACATGAAAGTAAATACTAGAAGAAAAAGGTTGGATTTGAAAGTGGTTGCCTCTGGGATTATAGAAATCATGAATAGGGAGGATGGTGTGTGAGAATGTTACATTTTAATATAAACTTTGTAGGGAAGTTTGGTTTTGAAATTATGTACATGGTTTGGTTTAAAAATGTTAGGAAGGGGGAAAGTACTATTTATTGTGTATAGCAACTATTAAATTGGGGGAACTTTGTAAATGAGTTAGTATTTGAGTTATCTTAAAGAATAAGATTAACATTGGTTTGGTTAGAGAGTAGGAAGAGCATCTGAGCCARGATGAAAAACATGAGGGAGAAAAACAGATTTGAAAACAGAAGGAATTCTCGGGATAACTGGATAATCCAATTGGCTAGAGAAGAGAGACATGAGAAAATAGCACCAGTTATGATTTATAAGTTGGACTCAAGTTATATAAATACTTGATACCAGGTAGTAGGGAGAAGTTAGTCTTTGATCTGAGAAACAATCAAATTAGTGCTCCAGGAAGAATCATTGTGAGTATGTCAAGTAAAAGGAAAATAGCTCTTTGTCTTGGCCTAATAGGGTGGTGGCTAAGAGAAAGGAAGGGGGAAAGGATAAGTGAGAGAAACCTTGAGGAGCTGTGAGTGAGGCTTGGTGAGAGGTGTATGAATCAAGAGACAGAGAAAAGTTAAGATAATCCTTTCATTTTGAACTGATTTGGTACAGTGTAGTGTCATTTAGAAATTCAGTTTTAAAAAGTGAGACAGTGGGGGCAGGGAAGTGGGATATTCAGTACTTTATTGTAGGAGGGTTGATGAAGTAGTCTGGACCTAGATGAACAAAAGGAGTTGATGGATGTATTTAGCTTCTGTTAGCAATATGGAACTGGAGCTCAGTAGAGATGTGATAGACTCAAAGTTAGTTGCCTACATGTTAGTTTCAAAAAACTAAAAGTGGGTGAGGTCCTTAAGAAAGATGGCTTATTGAGAAGTTCAAAGAGTACAGACTTCAGAGCAATGGAGAATACTCAGAAGTACAGTCAGTCCTCTGTGTCAGTAGGTTCTACAACCATGTATTGAACTAACCATGGATTCAAAGTATTTTGGGAAAAAATTGCATCGCTACTGACATATACAGACTTTTTAATACAGTATTTTAACTGTGACCTTTACATTGTATTAGGTATTGTAGGTAATCTGGAGATGATTTAAGGTATATGGGAAGATGTGCACATAAGGTATATGCAAATTATACCATGTAAAAGGTTTGACCATCCAGAAATTTGTATACCTGTATGTTGCGGGGGTGGGGGTGGGTGTCCTAGACCAATCCCCTGCCCACATTGAAGGACCACTTTTGTAAAAAGAAAGATACTAAGAAACTAAAGAAAGAACAGACAAGAAGAGAGGGRAAAAAAAAAAACAGGAAAGGAAGTTTTCAGAGAGGCAGTATTAAGCAACACAGTCAAACTGCTGCAGAGCAATATAGGAGAAAAGTTAATCTTTAACAATTGAAAACTTTTATAACTTTAAAAAGTTTTAAAATAACATAGATTATGCTTTCAGATTTCTTTTAGTTAAGAGAAAAGATTGTGAAACAGAGTAATAGCTTTGGGGGTTTTGTTGTTTTGTTTTGTTTTTTTAAAGGTGTGAGAAACCTGTGCATGTTTGAAGTCGGAGAAGAATAATGTTKAGCAGGGTCAAGGAGATGGCGGGAAAAGAGGGTATTGTTGGAGCAAGAGGATGGGTTGAAGAAATAAAACCATGAAAAGGAAGGGTTATTATAGCAGGAAAAGAAAACAAGAAAAAAAAGAAGTCAAGATAAATATTTGAATATTTTATCTAGGAAAGTACAATAACTAAATGGTCTAAATTTCTAAGAAAAGAGTAATGGAGGTAATTTCCTTTTTAGGAAAGAGCCAGAATTATTGTAAAAATCTTGTGAGCATATCCATCTGTTGCTGCATAGCAGACCACCCCTAAATTAATGCTTGAGACAGTTTGCATTCATTACTTTTCATAATTCTATGGGTCAGCAGATCATTCTGGTTTGAGATGGGCTCACTGTTATGACTGCATTAGCTGTACATTGAGTAGGCTGCTCTGGGCTAAGTTCTGTCACATATTGGGTGGACAGTCTGTGAACTACTCTAAGATAGCCTGAATAGGGCCACTTGGCTCTCCTCCACACGGTGTCTCATCCTCTAGGCTTTTTATTTTATTTTATTTTATTTTTTAAAGAGAGAGTGAGAGAGAGAGGGGGACAGAGAGAGAGAGAGAATTTTAACATTTATTTATTTTCTTAGTTCTCGGCGGACACAACATCTTTTTGTTGGTATGTGGTGCTGCTGATGATTGAACCCGGGCCGCACACATGCTAGGCGAGCGTGCTACCGCTTGAGCCACATCCCCAGCCCCCTAGRCTTTTTATTTTATTTTATTTTATTTATGCTAACAGGATTCTGAGAACAAGTAAAAGTGTTTGATGGCTATTGAGGCAGGGTCAGAACTAAGCACAGGGCCACTTTTGCCACATTCTCTTTGGCAAGTTTCAAGGCCAGCCTGTATTCTTGGGGTTGGAAAATAGACTACCCCATAATCAAGGGAGGATGTTGAGAGATGTGGGGTCTGGTACCATTTTTTGAAATAAGTATCTCACTGGGGAAAGCTAGAAATTGGTGTGCTCCACATGTAGCAGAGTTTGGTGTGCTAGGTATGCTAAAATCATCTGTGTTCTGTATTTTGAAATATACAAAATATAAATTGCAAGTATTTACATATGTGATTTTGATGTCTTCATTGTTAGTATATTCTTCCCCTCCCCAAAGGTTGGATAATACATTGGAGGAAATTATATTTAAGCTGGTACCTGGACTACGAGAACGTAAGTTGCTCTTTAGGTTCTTGGAGACTTTTGTGTTTTATGAAATCAACATGTCTCTTAAAAATTTCATGATTGTTCTTATAGTTTTTATACTTTTTTCTTTTAAATTAGAAGAACTTGAGCGTGAATCAGAATTTTGGAAGAAAAATAAGCCTCAAGAAAACGGACAAGGTAACTTTTTATTGTCTTTATCTGATAGCATCTCTCAAATCGGCAACTTTTTGTTGCTTTGGTGAACCAATATCTTTCTTCAAACTTAAATTTTCTCATGCGGAAAATTCCTGCATCCCTTTACTTGCATTATTAACCTATTCTTCTTCATGAGATTTTATATAAATCTATCAAATCTAGAGTCACTTGGAGAATAATTAAAAATATTGGAAACCCAACTTTGGGACTTGAAAAGGGAGATAAATGAGGAAACTGATTAGTTGATTATAGCAATAGTTTCTGGAATAAAAAAAGAAAATGAAGTAAGAAATAGCCATAGCTTTCAATCACTTAATCAGGAGTTTTACATTTTTATTTATTTTATAAGTTCATTTTAATAGGAAAGGGAACAGATGTGGCTGAGAGCCAGACCAGGGGATTTTTCTATGTTTTGATCCTCTGGAATGAAGTTTTCATAGGCAGAACTTAGATGACACAAACCCATGTGCCTAGTGAGGGAGTGCATCCCTGTATAGTTGCAGTTTTTATAAAAACACAGATATTACATAGTTACATACATGTTAAAAACGAATTCTACTCATTTTTTCACTAGCTGACTTTATGCATATCTAATAATTTGAAATTTTAAGAACTTAAAGAGAATATTTATAAAACTTAAAAGTAAATACTTGGTTTTTAATTTAAAGACTCATATATTAAATTTGGAAGTAATTTTATATCCTGTCTGCTTTCTAAAATGGTCTAAATCACTAACTGCAGTCATTCTTGTGACCAGATTTAGCTAATCTAGAATCTTTCCTTTTACTGTCCCAATAAACTAGAAATCTTAGGCCCTGGTTAAGTCTCTGATGAATTCTGTTTGTTTGTTGAGTTCATTAGAGCAGTTAAAAGATATTAAAACTTTTCACTATTCTTCAAAAACTTTTAAGAAAGTTGATTTTTGTTGAGTGATGTTGATTAATTTGAAATATTCTGTTCCATCTAACTTGATTTCATTTAAATTATGTAGACGATACTTCAAAAGTTGACAAACCTAAAGCAGATGAAGAAGGTGATGAAAATCAAGATGATAAAGACTATCATAGAAGTGACCCACAAATTGCCATCTGTCTAGATTGTTTACGAAATAATGGACAATCAGGGGACAACGTAGTAAAGGTGAGCGGACAAATACAGTTGTACTTTTAAATGATATGTTTATAATAAACCTTTGATAATTTGTTAGGGAATTGTCTAATGTTTCAAAATATTCTCAAAGTTTTTACTAATACATCCCATTAGAATGTTCTTCTCTGACAATCCTATATCTACAAATGGTCAAACAATTGTTTTTACTCCAGACATCTGTTTTTTCTCAAATGCTAAAATTATCCTGGGCCAATGCCACCATCTAGTGGCTAATGCAAGAATCACACCTCCACTTCTCCTCTCCACCTCCTTCTATACCTTTGTTGGGAGTTCACATGCATTGTTTCTCCCCTTTTTAAAGTCTGGTAACCTACTCAGGTAATTTCATGCTAGGCAGTGACTCTAACCTATTAATTAATTCTCATTTAATTTTGTCCTTTTTTTAATTTTTAATTTGCAACTTAGCAAGTTTTCCATACCCAGGCTAAAGCTGTATGAATAATATAATTAATTGGTTTTGAAGTATTGTAAAGTGCCTATGAACACAAATGAGTGTTGCAAAGTGCCTRTGAACTTTAAAAGTCCTTGAAGGTTTTTTGATTCCTGTAGAATCTCCATTTCTAATCCTATTTCCCTCTTTGTCTATTAATTGAACCTTTTCATAAAACATCTTAAAATACTTTCTTGATTTTTTTAGTCTTTATTGTTCAAATGATGTTTTCTGTTTCTTGTACTGCAGTCAACTTTAATTGCATTATAAACGTTTACTACTTTTACTTTTTACTACTTTATAATCTCTTTAGATTTTTTTGTCACTTTGTTCTAGCACATGTGAGCCATTAAAGATTGTTTTTCTCTTTGTATTCTCTGTATTTTTCAAATCCTATATCCATTATTCATTTCCTCTCATTTATTTTACTCCCTCTGTATAAATCTGAAGGCCTATGTGTTAAACTTTTTAATAATACATTTAATGGTATGTTTCTCTTGGGAAATGAAAAACGAATAATTTTTCAATTCCATTTAAGTTTTCTCAGCATCTTACACCAATAATATATATGATCATGGCAATACAATTATTATTTATCCACCARACATCTGTTTTTTCTCAAATGCTAAAATTATCCTGGGCCAACGCAACTTATATTATCATTGCCAATGGATATTAGACAATGATGATATAAGTTGTAAGAAAAAACCTATTGCTCCAGAAACTTGTTTAGGTCTTACACATACAAGGAGCCAGAATACATTAAGATTGTTTATTTTGTTAATGGGGAGTTGGTTTGACATGGTATGAAATAAAGTGKAACCACCTTTAGAAAAATGACCACTGTCCCTGTTTGTCCTTCCAGTCTTCTCTGTTGCTTTGTATATTCCAGAGCAGCCTCTCTCCCCTTTTGTAAGTGTTTTCATCGGGGTCTTTATGGTTCTGTTTCTCTTCCCAGCCACTTCTGTATCTCCTCTTAAAAGTTCTTCTTCAAAGAGATTGTGGTCATCCTTTASCTTTCTAATGCATGAGTTGTTATCTCATATAAGTAAATACAAAGGCCAATGTAGTTTYATAAATAATTGGGAAATCATGATTTCTAGTACGAAGGTTAGAAATTTATCTAAGAAAGTAAGTACCCGCTTTAATATCCTCCTTTTTGACTTCTGACTCTTCATATTCCATTTGACCTTTTATCCATTTTCTCTTTCCTTTGTAGACTTTTCATCATCTTTATACCTTCATTCTCAAAACAACTTTCTTGGCTTATACTTATAAGTGTATAAGTGACTTCCATGCTACCCCAATTCTAACCTTCTCTCCCAGGCCTTTTCTACTTTGTTTCCACTGGCTCTGCTTTTTGACTTGTACTTGATATATGTATATCCCAAATACTTTAGGTCTCTTCCATTTTTTTTCTCAATTAGCTATGCAGAGAACTTTTAAATCCCTATTACCAATCCTGCCATTTCTCCTAAGTTGAAGCATTGTAAATACTTTTAAATGCTCATTGGGAGTTTCACTAATACCTCAGACTTAACATTCCTTAAGGCAAATTCATTATACTTTCAACCTAACTTAAATCCAAATATTCATTTGTGTTTTGACTACCATCTCTCAACTAGTTATACAGTTTCAAAACCTTGAGATCATCCTTGATCCTTTACTCTTTTCCTTCGACCAGGCACCAAATCCTGCAAAATTTCTCCCAGTTTAGTGCCACTCAACCTTTATATCTAATTTTGGAACATATTTTCTTAAGTGTTTTCTCTACCCTTAATTTCTCTTGTTATAGGGGGATAGCGTCACTTGCTTGAGTGTGGGCAAGTCAGCAGGTAAGATCATGGATCATGACCAATTTCAGGGTCAGAGAGTAAATGTTTTAGGCTCTGTAGGCCAGATGGTCTGTGTTATAGCTACTCAGATTATTCATTACAGCTCTAATGTAGCTGTGGACAATAGTGAATGAGTGGGGGCTTGTGTTCCAGTAGAACTTTATTTAGGAAAACTGGTGACTAGCCAGATTTGGCCTGAGGACATGGCCAAGATTTGCCACCTTTTTGCCTACAAACTACTGTTTCACTATTTACATTAGCATTCAGCCCTTTATAACTAGCCCATCTCTTGCTACTTTTATCTTTTATTAACCTCCCCCCCTATTAAAATTCCATTCTCAAGACCAATGATGGTTCCATTACATATAAGTTGTGTGTGTGTGTTAGAAATCATATATCTGACAAAAGATTTGCATTTAGAATGTATAGACTTATGTTATCAATTCTTCAAGGCCTCTAAACCTTTGACTAATCCTTCCTTTTTGGTGTTTTATTTCCCCTTTTTCTCACCACTTTATGCTTCTGTCCAGACCCAAGCAAAAATCCTTATTCTTTTCATTAATTTTTATACCTGGTTGAGTCCCTTTTCTGAAATTATGTAAGGCTTAACATTTATCTCTCAATTAGAGCTTAGTTTGTTATTTATTAAGTGTATTCCTAAGGGTGGTAGGCATTAATAGTTATCTTTTAATCATTAATTTTATCTTTTGTGATGTATGGTTTGTTCTTGAAAACCCCTCAGAGGAAGAGATACCATCTGTATTGCTTCATTGCTTTCTCAACTGTCTTATTCTACTTTAGTGGGTTGTGATTCTCAAATGTGGTGGCAGGGTAGTTGCATAGTTTATACAGTATACCTACTGCTTTTATAATATGAAAATCAAAGTCAAGAGTAAGATGTTAGTAAAAACAGTGGAGTAAGAACCTCCAAAAATTTGTGTTTCCATAAAAGCTATGAAAAAACTGGAAACAATTTTTTAGGATCACATTTTTCAGACATCTGATACTTAACCAAAGATTTATAGCAACCCCTGGAGCATTTAATCAAGAAGATGACTGACTCTTGTGAAAACAGGAAAAATTAACAGCCTGCTTTTGTATTGCAACCTCTCAGGCACCAAGGGAGCAAAACAGGTAGAGCTCTTTCGAAGCCTCATTACCAAAAACAAAAATTTCAATGTTTGGGGCTGGAGCATTTGCCTCACATGTGTGAGGCACTGGGTTTGATCCTCAGCACCATATAAAAATAAATAAAGATACTGTGTGTTCATCTACAACTAACTATTTTTTTAAAAAAAATATCCTGTCTGGTTGTTTCCTGGAAGACCCCACTTTCAAGAATGTCTGTATCTGACCTGACTTGGAATTTGCCCAGTGGAAAAAGATTTCTCTGTGAGTGGGAAGAAGGGGCATTTTCCACAATAATTACAGGAAAATACTTTAACTTCATGATTCTCTGAGGCATAGGCAGTCAGTAGACTAACCTTAAAAGAAAAAAAAGGGGGGATTAGATGTCAGTAGGATCTTTAAAAAATCTGACATATTCCTTAGAATCTAAAAGCCATAGGGTTGTGTACATGCTCAGGAAAGTCACGAGAAGACCCTGAGCTTGTACCTACTGCTGATGCTGAGGCTCTGCACAAGCAAAAAGTGGAGAATAAAGCAGAGCTAGCAACCTGTGTTGAGTGTTGTAGGTTTGCCCCAAACAGTGAAATTGTGACTAACACAAGAAAAAAGGCCTCAATTAATAATCCAGTCTGCACCTAAAAAAAAGAAGAGCAAACTAAAATCAAACAGAAGAAAACAATAAAGATAGATTAAGAGAAAATAGAAAAATAAAAGAAAAAATTTCAAGTTCAAAAATTTGTTCTTTGAGCAGATTACCAAAATTGATAAAACTTTTGCTGAATGAACCAAAACAAAAAATGAGTGAGAAGAATGAATTTATCAAAATCAGAATGAAAGAGGGGCCATGACTATCAACCTTATAGAAATAGAAGTGATTAGGGGCTGGGGTTGTGGCTCAAGTGGTAGAGCACTCGCCTAGCACATGTGAGGCACTGGGTTCGGTCCTCAGCACCACATAAAAATAAAATAAATGTATTGTATTCACCTAAAACTAAAAAAAAAAAAAAATTTAAAAAAAGAAAGAGAAGTTATTATAAGGAAATGCTATAAACTATTGTATGCCAACAAATTAGATAGCCTAAATGAAATGGAAAATTTATTAAAATATAAAAAGGAAGAAATGGAATATATGAATAGATAAATAACAAGTTAAACAAATATGAAGTGGTAGCAAAAAAAACAAAAAACAAAACTTCCCACAGAAGCCCTAGTGTTTAAAGAATTAGTACCAGTCTTTCACAAACTCTTCCAAAAGATAAAAGAGGAGAGAATATTTCCCAACTCATTCTCTGAGGCCAGTATTACCCTGGTAACAAAACCAAAGATGTAACAATAAGAGAAAACTATGGATCTTTTATGCATCAAAAGACAAGGTCAAGCTGGGCGTGGTGGTACACATCTATAATCCCAGCGACTCGGGAGGCTGAGGCAAGAGGATTCGTGAGTTCAAAGCCAGCCTCAGCAACAGTGAGACACTAAGCACTAAGCAACAGTGAGACCCTGTCTCTAAATAAAATACAAAATAGGACTGGGGTTGTGACTGAGTGGTTGAGTACCCTGAGTTCAATCCCTGGTACCAAAAAAATAAAAAGAAAAGAAAAGGAAGACATGGTCAACAGAATGAAAAGGCATCTTGTGGGATGGGAGAAAATACTAGCAAATCATATCTCAGAGAAGGGGATAATATCTAGAACATGTAAAGAACTCTACAACTTGACAACAACAACAAAAAAATCAAGTAATCTGATTAAAAATTGGGAAAATGATTTAAATAGGTATGTCTCTAAATGTGATATATAATGGACAACATCACGAATCAGAGAAAGCATATCACAACAATAAAACATCACTCCAGATCCACTAGGATGGGTACTATAAAAAAAAATGAAACAAAATATCAAGTGTTGATGAGGATGTGGAGAAATTGAAAGAAACACTTGTTTTCTGTTGGTGGGATTTTAAAATGGTGTAATCACTATGGAAAACAGTATGGAAGTTCCTCTAAGAATTATAAATAGAACAACCATATCATCCACAATTCTACCTTCAGAAATAATTTTTTCAAAAAAAATTGAAAACATGGTCTCAAAGAACTTTCTGAACATCCATGTTCATAGAGGTACTATTCACAATAGCTAACAGGCAATGAATGAATAAACAAAATGTGGTATTACACATACAATGGAATATTATTCAGCTTTGAGGGAAATCCTGTTTCATCCTGCATTGTGTATGATAATCCCAAAGGATATTATGTTCAGTGAAAGAACCCAGTCACAGAAAAACAAACTGTATGATTCCACTTATGTGAGGTAGTCAAATTCATAGAAACAAAATAGAATGGTGGTTATCAGAGTCTAGAGGGGAGGTGAAAGGGTAGTAGTTGTTTATTAGGTAWAGAGTTTCAGGTTTGCAAGATGAAAAAGTGGTGAAGATCTGTTTCACWACAATGTGAGTATATTTAACATTACTGAACTGTATACTTAAAAATGGTCAATTTAATGTGATGTGTTTTTTGTCTTTTATTGGTGCATTATAATCATGCATAATACTTGGGTTCATTTTGACAAAATCATACATGCATGGAATTTTATTTACTCCATTTCAGTCCCCAGTGTCCCCCTTTTCCTCCCCTCTCTCCCTATTCTTCCTATGCTCTACTGATCTTCCTTTCATTTGTTTATTTTTTTTATTGGTGCTTTTAGATATACATAAAGGTGGAATTCACTGTGGTACATGCACATAGCATAATTTCATTAAATTCATTCTGCATTTCCTCCCCTTTCCCAAACCTCCTTCTCAATCTCCTTCTTCTGTTCCACTAATTTTTCCTATGTCTTTATGTATCCAGTTCTCCCCTGCTCTCTTTTCCCCCTTTTATTTGTCTCTAGCTTTTACCTATGAGAAAACATTTGACCCTTAATTTTCTGAGTCTGGCTTTTTTCACTTAGCATGATCTCCATTTCCATCCATTTACCAACAGATGCCAGAATTTCATTCTTCTTTATGGTTGCATAAAACTCCATTGTGTATATATTCTACATTTTCTTAATTCATTCATTTAGTGTGATGTGTTTTTTAACCACAGTTTTTCAAATGTAAAAAAAAAAAGGATTTTAGAAAAGAAAAAGTATGAGCCAATTTTCCTCATGAATATAGTTACAAAAGTCCTCAACAAAATGCTAGCAGACTTAATCTATCTAGAAAAGAATATGTACCAACATATACTGAAAATATATATATACACCAACATATAGCCAAGGTCAATTCAACATAATGAAAATCAATCAATTAATATGTCTTTTTAATAAAGTACAGGTGTAAAAAAACCACATGATCATCTCATAGAGTAAGAGAAAGCGTTTGACAAAATTTATCATCCTTTCTTTTTTGAAAATGCTTGACAAACCAGGAATTAGATGGGGACTTCCTTACCCAAATAAAGGACATCCATGTAAAACTCATGATTAATGATCAAAGACTGAAAACTTTTTCCTAAAATCAGGAACAAAACAATGATTTCTGTTCTAATCATCTATTTTCAGTGTTGTATTAGATGTTCTAGCTAGAGCAAATAGACAAGAAAAAGACTGTAAAAGAAGTGAAAGTATTTGCAGATCTTATACATAGAAAATTCTTAGGAATCTACTGAAAAATTAATAGCTAATAAGCTCAGCAAGTTTGCAGGATACAAATCAATATACACAAATCAGGAGTAAACAATCAAAAAATGAAATTAAAACAATTCCACTTCGAGTAGCATCGAAAAGAATAAAATACTTAGGAATATATTTAATCAAAAACTAGAAAACATTGTCAAAAAAAATTAAAGGCCTGGGGCAGGAGTTGTGGCTCAGTGGTAGAATGCTTGCCTTGCATGCATGAGGCACTGGGTTCAATCCTCAGTGCCACATAAAATAAATAAATAAAAGGTATTGTGTTCATCTACAACTAAAAAATATATTTTTTTTAAAAAAAATTAGGGCTGGGAATGTGGCTCAGTGGTAGAGGGCTTGCCTAGCATGTGTGAGGCATTGGGTTTGATTCTCAGCACCACATATAAATAAATAAAGTCCATTGACAACTAAAAAATATTAAAAATAAATAAAAGTTAAAAAACTAAAGGCCTAATTAATGTGAAGGCATCAAATGATTATAGATTAGAAGACAACATCATTAAGATAGCAATACTACACAAATTGCTGTGCAGGTCTAGTGAAACTTGTAGCAGAATTCTAACTGCTTTTTTGCAAGAATGGCAACTGATCCCAAAAGTCACATGAACATATTTAATTAATCCACATTGAAATTTTGTTAGATTCATGTCAAAGCTTATTGAGTTATAAATTTAAAAGCTTTTGACCCATTTTAAAAATGTTGCTTTAACTCATCTGACATCTCTAAAAAATTTATGTTTTTTGAAAGATTAGGTAGTGATATTAAGGTCATTTCTGCATTGATATCAAGGTTYTTCTGCAGTTGAGATTACATTCAAAGGTCTCCCAGTATCCTCACATGTTTTGACTTTACTCAAACTTGCAAAACTGTACTAATATAACTTTTAACTTGCTTGTTTTCTTTTAATAGATACTTTACCATTTGAATTGTGATCAATTATCAGTTGTGGATTTGTTCCTGTTAATCTTTGCCAGGAACTGTGTTTTATTAGGAAGTGAACATTAACTGAAAAGTTCTACTTTTAACTTAGTAAATTTAAAAATACTTAAGGTATTGTTCTGGATGTTGACCCAATTTGTTAGGCATCTAAATAGGAGTAATACTTTGTATCTTTAAGATTCAGTTGTATTTTGTTTTTGTTTCAGTTTGCAGATAACTTTTCAGGTTGTGAGATGTAATTTTGTTTCACATATTGGTTCATATGTWTATAATGTGTGTGATCTCATTTTGTCTCACTTTTAATTTGAATATCTATTCTTATATCTTAAAGATGCTCAGGCTTGAAGAGTGAATCGGTACTGCTCTGTGCATTTTACAAATGAGACACATCAAAACACACTGACCTGTTTTTTCCAGTCAAGTATTCTTGTAGCTCCTTAGAGGAGCATGAGTTTTTGAAACCCGGATTCTATACTGTATAGCTTTTAGTTGTTGAGGCATGTTGTGGCCTAACTGGCTTCTGTTACATGCTAGGGCTCCTCAGGTCTCATTTAAATCAGTGCTCTTTCTAAAATCATTTAAGTTATGGCATCATGTTTAGAAAATGTCCCTAATGCTTTCAGAAGTGATAATAGAATATTTGCATGCTTTTGTGGTAATTCTTTTATTTTTATTTAAACTCACAGTGTTTTCTGTACTAAAATGTCTTAATAATAAGCCTATTGTCTTTTTGCCAGGATTTTCCTTGAATGCATAGGTATACATATTGAAGAATGTATTGTAAATGTCTGAGAACCAGGAACATTTTTACTTACAAGTACTGAAGAGCTGTAAATTGAAACATTCTCACAAAACATTTTGAAAATACTCAAAATGATAGTATAGTGAAAATGGTTCATAAAAAGTAAAGTAGAATGTTTTAATTAGCCATCTTTATTTCCTTAGGGTCTAATGAAGAAATTCATTCGGTGTTCTACACGTGTAACTGTAGGAACTATTAAAAAATTTCTAAGTTTAAAACTAAAACTTCCAAGTTCTTATGAGGTAAGTTAAATAATGTCTAACCTTGCTTTTTAAATTATTATTATTATTTGGAGGGTGAGGGGGAACCAAGGTTTGAACTAAGGTATACTCGGCCACTGAGCCACATCCCCAGCCCTATTTGTATTTTATTTAGTGGCAGGGTCTCACTGAGTTGCTCAGTTCCTTGCTTTTGCTGAGGCTGGCTATGAACTTGCAATCCTCCTGCCTCAGCCTCCTGAGCTGCTGGGATTATAAGCATGCATCACTGCACCCAGACTAATCTTTCTTTCTTTTTTGCTTTTTTTTTTATAACTCTRTTCTGAAGTAAAATTCTAACCAAAAAAAATGAGTTTTAACATAATATATCCAAATTAACTTTTGTGGAAACTTTCATCTTCTTATAAGAAATGATATTAATTTGATATTGATTATAGCTAGCTTACGTAGTCAGAAAATATTATAAACAGTAAGCATAAGAAAAATACAGTATGATAGGATTTGAACATAGACATTGACAGGTATGAAATCTGTATTTTAAAGGAAGCCTTTGATCTTAAACTTAAGTTTTCTCTGATGACTGATTAGTCTGGGTTAATTTTTTATTATTATTATAGTTTGGTCTAACAAACACAAAAGAAAAATTCCAAAAACATCATTTTTTGTGTTAAAAAATTGCAACAATTAGGTATCAGAGCCCAGTGATTGGTAAAAGTAAAAGATAACAATTTATAGCTATAACCATAGTGAAAAGTAGACAATGTAATCATTTTTATGATGCAGTTTTATATTTTATTTTCTTCTTGCAAAATACCATGTACAGTTTTATCTCCTTACTTTTAAGTCTTACTCATTAATTTACCAATTTCTTGTTTCTATTCAGAAAGTTGTTAGAGCTAGGAACACTTACTCTCAGTATTACTTCTGGCAGGTTTATATTTGTCTGTAGACTAAGATGGAAAGAAAACAGATGTATTCCACTGATAGCTCCTTATCTATCCCAAAGAATTTTCCTATGATTTCATAGAAATATTGTTTGTCTCCCATTATCTTGCTGCCTGGCCTGTTAGGGGATGATTTAATGAAATGCCTGGCAGCTGGAACTTCTTTTACAGACTTGCTAGTTGGGGAAGGATAGTTAGTTGTTAAATGATTAGTAATAGCATCCTATATAAATTTCTTCTTTGCTTGTGAATTTTACAGGCAATGTAAAGAAAGGGAGATTATTTACTTTGTTTTTTAAGAGTTAATAAAATGATGTCTGAAAAGCATTTTGAAGTTCATATAAGTCACCATCAATCATCAAAAGATCAATTCAGTCTCACATGTCTAATACAATTGGGACTATATTTGTTTTAGACTTAATATTCAAAACTGTAGTTTCTGTCTAGCCAGAAAGAATTATTTAGAACTCATTCTTTGGAACTCCTCTTCATGCTTATGAAATCTTACTAGTTGATTTCAATAGCTAGAGAACTGAAATGTTATTTATAGAGATCTGTCAATTATGCTTTGTCAAATTAATGAACAGTAGCCAGAGTTCCTGTGGCCTTCACAAGGATTTGAGGAGTTGTTTGGTTCCTGCAACATAGACCAAAAATGATCATTTATAAGTATAACCCTTTATTGACAATTCATGCCTGGTAAGAAGAAGATCCTGTAACTATTGTACAAGTACCAACTAAATAAACCAGAGAACCCAACTAGCCCTGGAACACAAATCTGTGCTATAGTCCTAAATGTTGTGTCAATTTAGTTATCAATAATTACTAGAAATTCTCATATACTTCAAAGACTCTATAAATTATTGTATCTACATTCATTACCTTCTTTAAATTGGAACTAAGTAACCCCTTTCAATCTTKGGAAGTCCAAAGGATTCTGAGAGATGAATTTAGAAGCTAGAGAAGCTGTAAGAAACTATGAGCTTGCTACAGTTTGTTCTCATTCAGCAAGGGCAAAGTGTAGCTAAATCCTTTAAGGTTGCACAGAGATGTGGAATAAGAAGGTCTGTATTACATTTATGAATTATGTGTTTGAACTTGAGAACCATGTTATATTGGACAAGATAAATAGTGCTTCATTTATTTATATCTGAATTGTTAATATTCTGTGAGAAAGAAAAGTGCTAGAAAGTAAAAATATTGAGTGTTCTTTTAAAAAGAAATAGTTCTATTTTGTTATAATTGTTTGGATCTCTTGAAATTTGAAAAAAAAATTAAAATTTGTGAATTTAAAATTATTTATGTTAATATTATCTGTAACTTCTTTTTAAAGTTGGATGTGCTGTGCAATGGTGAAATTATGGGGAAGGATCATACTATGGAATTCATCTATATGACAAGATGGCGACTAAGAGGAGAAAACGTAAATTGCTTTTATATTTACCTATGTGTATATTTAGTTATATACTATTTTATTATTAAAATTTAACAATATACTTAGGAATTTTATGAAAATATGGCTTGGGAAGAAGAAACTGGTTCCTCTTGTTTGTCTCAGCATTCTGAAAACTGGTTCAATTACAAGACCAATGTCTGTGTTATACGTGTTTTTGTTTTTTAAGGTGAGTTCAAAACTCCATTAAAATATGCTCAGGATTCTGCTAACCTCAAGAAAGATGACACATATTTTTTTAAAAGCCCAGTAACTAATAGGAACTTATAAGTATATTGATAGGGGGTGGGGAGACTAAGTACTGCCCTAACTGGTATAATTAAGGGTCAATGAGAGAATTCATTTAGAGTTGTGATAAGGGACATATTGGGTAGAATATGGATAATCTCTTTTTCAGGTACCTCCTTAACATTGAAAGTATAAAATCAGGCCTAAGGGTAAGTGAATTTGCTGTGGTTTCTGATACCAGAATTTAATTATTGTGCCTACGCCCTAGGAGAAATTATTTAGAGGAGAAAACCTAAGAAAACCAAACAGTAAATTTTGTATTTTGAACTCTCATTTTTTTATTAGTCCTAATATAGGTTTGTGTACATCTGAGTTTAATATGGGATATTAGGGAAGTTTGAGGCACTAGGGATTATAAGACTGATTTGTGGGAGTAAGAAATATTGCAGTAATGCTACCTGAAATTCTATTCATGATCTGAGTGATGAGCCTTAATGAAGACTGATTGAAAAGTTGGACTAGATAACTTCTAAGGTCACCTTTAAGATATTAAGATTCTGTGGTGTTTATGGTACAATATCGTACTTTCCAACTCTGAGTAATGTAATGCTTTTATTTTGTAAGTAGGTTTTATTATATTTTATTATAAAATGTAAGTTACTCATAAAATAAAACACAAAATTAAGAAATGTTACCTCACCCAAGGAATAGGTAATGTAAAATCCAGATATAACAGGGGTTGCCATATTTCAGTAGTTCAAACATACTTACATTGAACATAAATATCTTTGCAACTGTTAAAAAGCAAACAGTGGGTAAAACATTTGGCTGTTTTTCAGAAGAAATGTCTTGATATGATATAATAATACATGAACCACCTAACTTCTTAAATCAGAATTTTTTCCTATTTGAGTTTCACATGGGTGAATCCTTTTTGTGAAGCTGAATGCATTAGCCATAGCAAAAAGAGTTCAAGATCAGGAAGAAAAAAATTACATTTAGTGTCAGTCATCAACTAGTTTGTTGATCTCAAAGAATTCATCGAATCTCTGTTTTTTTTAGTCTTTGTATTTGGTAAATAACTACTTGCCTTTCTGTGACATTTCATAGTGCTTTTAAAGGGTTGTGTATGAATTACTTTTGTTTTAAGTATTAAAGCCAAAATCTGTCAGATACCAGGTGCAGATTGCAGAGAGAGTAAATTCTCTTAGCCAGTACTATTGGGGAGGGAATATTGTAAAATTACCTAAAACATTAGCATTGTATTGGATGTCCTTTTAGCTTTCTATAGTTCAGTGTTAAAAGAGATGTAAATGGCCAAAAGTGTGAGGCCTCTGCTGGTGCTCACATGTCCTTCACAAGATCCCTGTCAAAAGTTACCCATACTGCCAGTTATTTTAAAGCTAGAGCTACTTCACAGAAATTGTGTATTAATAGACTATCAGTTATATCAGTTTTTAATATAATTACATTGCTGGTAACACATTTCTGAATAGTTTGAATTCTTTAGTTATTTGAGTCATATTTTAATAAAAGTTCAAAAAGTGATTCAATATCATGATTTATCATTTAGGTGAAAAACAAAACAATAAGAAAAACTACCACCTTTTACATCTAGTACATAGTAAAATAATATATTAGTCTATTTTTTCTATTTTCATAATAATTCTGGTTGTTTGGTTGTTCTTCTCCAAACCTATGTCTCCCTCATTCTTCATAGTCTCAGTGGTTTTAAGATTGGTAGCTTCATTTTTCCAATTGCTCAGACCAAAATTCCTGAAATCAGCCCTGATTAYTTTCTTTTTATTTCATTCATCCTTAGCAAATTCTAACTACTGCCATCAAAATACTAGAATCAGAATCCAGCTGTGTCTTACTACTACTCTGGTCTCACTCACCATGGTCATTTTCCATAATGATTCTGAAAGTCTCTTAGCTGGCCTCGACCCTGCCCACATACTCTCCTCACCTGATACCACAGCTAGAGGACATGTCACTCTGTGCCATTCTGTTCAATTTATTATCAGTTAGATAAAAGCCAAGTCCTTCCAAAGACCCACAGAGATGGCTCCCACATAGTTCTCCCTGTCACTCCCACCACACACACACACATTACCATTTTCTCTCTCTTTGGCTTACAGCCCTCTAGCCACAGTGTCTTCTGTGCTTCCTCAAACATGCCCTACTGGTATTGCCTTCCTGGGTATTCATCCAGCTAGTTCCTTCACACCTTTTACTTCAAGAATTTTGCTTCTGTGTCACCTTCTCAGTGAGGCCACTGGCCTCCCTTAAAATTAACAACTCACTCTCTGATGACATTCTTTAATTCCTTTTCATGCTTATTGTTTTTCATAGTTATTTTAAACCATCTGACATACTGTGCCTCTTGTTTATATGTTTATTATTTGTCCCCTCACTTAACTGTAAACTAAAACCTAAGATTTTAGCCAGGCATGGTGAAGCATGCCTGTAATTGCAGCAACTCATGAGGCTGAAGCAGAAGGGTTGCAAATTCAAGGCCAGCCTAGGCAACTTAGTGAGACCCTGTCTCAAAATTAAGAGAGAGAGAGAGAGAGAGAGAGAGACAGAGAGAGACGGGCATGTGGCTCAGTGATTAAGTGCTGTTGGGTCCAATCCCTGGTACAAAAAAAAAAAGACTGGGATTTTCATTTGGTCACTGTTGAATTTCCAGCACCTAACACACTGCCCAATACATTTGTTTGAAGACTAAATTAAATGAAAATTTTATCTTTTATAAAGTAGTAGCTACATGAAATATATCCTAAAGATAATTTTATTTATTTGAATCTTAGTTTCTCATTTGTTTTCTGTTAAACAAACTTTAAATTCTTGCTCAGGTTCCAATTAAATACAAAATTATTATTTTAAATGAATTCTGGCAGAAGAGTGACCTGGACAAATGTAGCAATAGTAATAAAACAATCATTTCTTCATTAAGCCCCTACTAGCCTATTTTTTATGATTCATTCCTTACTATCTCTGCCATCAAGAGACCAGGATGTCTGAAAAACTTTCATTATTCTATCTACTGCCATGGATAACTAGTTCTGCTTTGGGCTGGAGTTGTTTCCTAAACTAATGAGTATAATGTGGTTGTTTCACTTCTTATCCTTTCTTATAGTAAACATTTTAATCCACCTGGGATTGATTTATTTGCATACACATGTTCACAAGTCTTAATTCTATTTTATTCTAAAATTTTTTTAATTAGAAATAAAATTTATTGAATGATCCATACCTTATTATTTCAAGATATCAGCAWTATCTACACATATGTATACATGTATATGGATGTATACACACATACACATATGTGTATGTGCCCCTAGGTATTCTGGTTTATTCTTTTGAGCAAGTCTTATTCTGAACCAGCACTACACATTATATAGCTTCTTAAAAATCTGATTATTTAATACCCCTGTCTAAAAACCCTTTTAGAAAATTGTCCATTTACCTTGGGATAAGTTTGGTTAGAGTCTAAACTAAAATGTCTTATAAAACAAATAGGTCTTCTAAGTTGCTTTATGATATATATTAGTACCTATTGGGGCAAAAAAATACCTATTTTTTTTAATTGTTTTGTCTAGTTTTACCCATTCTTCCAGACTAACCTTTGAATGGGATTGTGATTGGCAGTGAATTATATTTCTAGGTTGCTTCACTGGAATTGGCATCATTATAGTTTTTCATTGTATTTGCTTCTGTGAGACATCTACTCATATGTTCCTTACTCTTTATCTATGTCTCTGAGTAAATCTGTAGTTTTTTTTTCCTCTCTATATTGGCTATTTCACCTCTAGCAAGGCTACTCCATATTCAGATCACCCCTTACCTTGTCCCATTCCTACCCTACTGGAGGAATCTCAGGACAATCAATTTTGCCTGAAGTCCTCAAGTAGTGCAATGTCTCCCTGCACCACGCACCTTCTGCACCACTGCTTTCGTCTGTCCAGGACTAGTTCCACTTCAACCTTAGACCCTTTTCTTTAGCCCTGCCCTTTCTGGACCCCTTCTCCATTTTGATCTTTTTTTGAAAGATTTTTATCGTTAGGAATCAAAACAAACATCCAGTCAAACTTAGATACTTCTTAGAAATTTTTTCAGTTCTTAATGATATTGTCACTTTGGAATTTCTTGTACTCATGGCTGACTATGATATTTGCTTCTTAGTGGGAGAAAATATACTTTAAAAAAAATAAACGGTACTTCTCAATCTTTAACCCAAATATGAATCATCTTGGGATGTTGATAAAATACAGATACTGACTCTAGGTCTGGGACAGAGCGTAAGGTTCTGTTTTTCTAGAAAGCTCCCAGAAGAAACCAGTGTATCTGATCTTTGACCATCCTTGAGTAATAGAATTTTAGTGTGATAGACTACTTACTTGTCCTTTGGCTTCTACGTCTACAAATTGAAGGTGTAGAATTAGTTTGGAAAGGGCTCAGTCATCTAATGTCATCATCAATCTAATACTTGGATTTTGTTCATAATATCCATGCCAGTGGTCATCACTGTTTTCTGAAATATGAACAGTATATATTGTTTTGTGACTTCTTTTTTTGCTTGGCAATAAATCTGTGGAAAAAATAAACTTTGAAATAATTCTTTTTAATATAGTGATAAAATTTAATATGTGTGGATGTAGCGCTGTTTAATTAATGAAATAGCTTGGTGGACATTTTGATTTTTTTAAGGTTTTTGACGTATATTTATATACATTGCCATATATTTTTGGGTACATGTATTTTTTGCCCATGTGCAAGCATATCTATTGTCTGGATTCCTAGAAGTAGATTTACAACAGAGTATGTATATGTTAAATTTTGAGAAATGTTGAAAAAATGTTCTCTAAAAAGAAAAGTTTATAATCATAACAGTAATATAMAAGGAAGTGTCCCTTTTCTGACATCCTCACCAACACTGCATATTATCAATTTTAGATTTCATCTGTGAACTTTCATATTCATTGTCTTATTTTTTCATCATTATGTTTGATTTTTTAAAATTTTCTTCAAGGAGCTTTTTATATATTCTAAGTATGAATCTTTTGTTACAGAGGTTGCAGTAATTTTCTTCCAGATGTGTCCTGCTTCCTASTTTTCCTTAATTGATCCTTAAAAATTAAAGTATCAATGCCTGTGTTGAAAAGTTGAACAAGAATTAATGAAATATTATATACTCAAGTTCTTAGCAAAGTGCCTGATATAATAAATGTTAATTATTTTAGTAATAGCTCATGTATGTTAACTTTCATTATGATTATAGTTTCCTTCTCCTTCACTTGGTTTCACCTCTGACCTCTGTCAGTATCTTTATATTCAATCTTTTTGCCATGGAGTCATGTCTTCCTGCTCTTCCCTTCTTGGGTAGGGTAAAGTACACACTGTCAGTGGTCATCACAGCCTTTTCCTAGGTGATCCTGATTAGTTTCATCTCCTCCAGCAGCATCTGCTAGTCCAGCACAGAAGTGACTGTACCATGCTTATCTATCTTTCTTTGACTTATTTTTGCATTATTTGCAATTTTAGGAAAAGCAAAGGTACCCATCTTGACTGATACCAAAGAGACTAATAGAGAAAAGAACAACTAGTGAAATAGCATTTTTTCACTTTAACTCTCTAATAGAATGCTATGTACAACTTGCCTCGTTAGGCAAAATCAAATAGGCCAGAGCTTGGAAACTCTTCAGAGAAAAAGGAAGTCACCAAAAAAATTATACTACTAGGCACATTTTATAGCATGTTGATGAGCACTATACTCAAAATCAAGGACCAGCTTCTAAAGAAAAAATTGCTCAAGTATTTTGGGGAAATAGAAAATTTATAATCTTTCAAAGTATATCTTTTAAAAGCTACTCTGGGAAGTTAGAAATATTCTGATTTATTTATAACTTTTATGTATTTAATTTTTCCATTTGAAGAATATGCAATGTAGAATTCATATATGCATAATTTAAAATATATATTGTTTTATAGTCCCATTACAATGAAAATTATATTTGTATTTAACAAGTTGTAGCATATTTTGGAAATCAAGATTAATAATGATTTCACATGTGGTTAAACTGTTAAAAGGTAATAGGTTTACAAATGAATCTACTCAGTAGTTTAAAAATATATTCATTCATTTATTTACTTATACAACACTTAATGAAGTGGCTGCTGTTTGTCAGTTCTGGGTCTTATCTATATAAGACTGCAAGTGTAAATATGAAATATATTCAAGGAGCTCATAATCTAATGCTATTAAAATAGATATGGAGACTAAGACTCTAATTTGGGCAATATAAAGAACCTAAATAAAACAGGAAATGGATCCCTTATGGGTTGAGCGAAGTTCTGTGCTCTGATCTCACTGAACAGTGCTGCTTTCAGGGGCAGTTGAATAGGAGACCTAGGAGAGACTGATGGCAGGAAGGGATGGAAGAAAGAGGGTGCCCTTATATACCAAGAGATGAGGATTTTCTCAGGAACTAGTATTTGAAAAGGAAATGGAAAGGGTAGGATACCATATTGGTATTTTCAAAATATTAACCTAACTCATAGCTAGTTGCTAAAATTACTTCAAGCTAAATTTTACCAATCACTAAGTTATTAAATCTATTTTTTTCAAAACCAACTATCATTTTCTCAGTGTTTTTTTAATTAATCATGTTGACTCTTAATGTTTGACGTTAAAATATTTTAAATAATCAATTTTAAATATGTATCCAGTTGTGGATGCCTCTTATCTGATGAGTTCATCTCCTCCGCAGTTTCGGTGTCTGAACTGCTCAGCTTCGCAAGTCTGCTCTCAGGATGGCCCTTTGTATCAGGTAAGAGGCACTCACGACGGTACATATGACCATCATGATGCCATGGCAGTGATCGCTTCATCCCCAATTTGAGTTACTGAGACATGTCACTCTGTAAAACTGATGTTTTTATGATCTTTTCTAAACTTAAATCCCCCAAATTCCCCATTATTTTAGTTGTCCTGAAATAACTACTTAACTTTATTGAATATAAATTGAAATTATAAATGTTAAGGCCATTATTTATGAGTCAGAAGTTCTTAATAACTACTTTCAGTCCTTGAGAAATCTCTGATCCATATTGGATCAGGATGTTGCCTTCTTTGAATAAGTGTGATTTTATTTTTATTTTTGCAGTGCTGGGGATCAAACCCACACCATCCACACACTAAGCAGTGTTCTACCCTGAACTATATTCCCAGCCCAAAATGTTGTGTTTGGGCTTTATTTTTTTTTTTTCTTTTTTTGATGAGCCATTCATCCACAAGTAAAAGATGAAATGCCAAGTTAGATGACTAAATAGGAGCAAGAACAAAATCTAATTGTGAGCTTGCTTATAGGGCATTGCTCTAAGTTTTTTAACCCTATTACCTCTTTTAGTAAGGAAATGATAGTGAGCTAATTTAATAATGTATTGAWAATATTTGAACATGTGTCTGAGAAAAGTTTATCTAGTAAAAATACACTTAAAAATTTTTGGAAAGTAGAGACTTAAGTGCCCTATAGTAAGAATTATTGTTAGGTTCAGAGATGATCTATGATCCACCTTAATCTTGTGAACTAATCATAGCATTTGTTTAAAATATCCAGATTTTTTATGCCAGCAATTAAGGTAGTCTTCATCCCTATTTCCTTGGAGCCAAGAAAGGAGAATTATGTAAACTTTAGAACTAGTAAACTTCAGTGTAGCAGTTTTGGAGTTGGACAAATGAATGAATATTAAGTATTAATACTTCAATACTAATCAAAAAATTTGAATTAGCAGCTTATCTAAAATTTCCCWCAGTCTTTTGGTCAAGACTATGTTGTAGGAATCCCCATGCCTTCATTAAGATGTGTGTTTTTTTCATATACAATGTTTAAGTCCTAGTTTTTTTTAGCAATGGAATAAGCAAATATAATGACATCTATAAAGGCCAAGAAGAAATCATTTAAGGGAAAAAATCATCCTTTACCTTATATTACCAGATTAGGGTAAGGAGTGAACAGATAATTTAGTTAGAATTGGCAAAGTTTATAAAACTCTGAAGTTTATAAATGTTTTAGCTTTAAGCTTTGTAGCTGATTTGGGGCTGATCCATAATGGTATATTGTCCATAGCTAGAACCCACATACACACAGCTTTTTTATTTTATTCTTAGTATCAATGTCTGTGTCCTTAGAAAGAAAGATATTCTTAAATCTTAGTGCAAAGTATTAGAAAGTGACTGGAATGAGACAAATTTTCAAATCTAACAAAATTCCATTTCTTTCTTCAATACTTCATTACAGATAATAGTCTCATATATGTAGAAAGATAGATAATAGTCTTTTAAAAATTTTGAATTTGTAGTTAATTATGTACCTTTGGCCAAAACCAGAAATTTTCTAGGAAAAGTTTTCACTTTTTTATTACAAGAATATATTGATATACAGGTAATCTTAGTGATTGGGGAGTCTGAGGGAGGAGGATCAGAAATTCGAGGCCAGCTTCAGCAACTTAGCAAGACCCTGTCTCAAAATAAAAAGTAAAAAGGCCTGGAGATGTTTATCAGTGGTAAAGCACCCCCAGGTTCAATCTCCAATACCAAAAGAAAAAAAGAGGGAGAGGAAAAAATATGTATTATATGTACATACAGAGCTATATATTACTGAGTTTTTAATTTTGTGAAAATTTTCTGAAATAGAAAACTTTCTAGGAAAATATTAGTGGTTCAAAATTTACCCCAGAAGGGCTAGGAATGTAGCTCAGTGGTAGAGTACTTACCTTCTAGCATGTATAAAGCCCTGGAATTGAATCCCAGCACCACCAAAAAAAAAAAAAAAAAAATCAACCCAAGAAGAAAGAGAAGTTAAACCACTAATTCACAAAAGTCATAAAAGAAATTTTTAAATAATTAATTTCCTTGAGAGATACGTAAGTGGGCCATATATGGTAGTACACACCTGTAATCCCACTGGCTCGGGAAGCTAAGGCAGAAAGATCACAAGTTCAAAGCCAGCCTCAACAACTTAGCAAAGCCCTAAGCAACTCAGGGAGACCCTGTCTCTAGCTAATATAAAAAGGCCTGAGGATGTGGCTCAGTGGTTAAGCACTCCTGGGTTCAATTCCCAGTACCAAAG